AAATAGGATTAATGTTAATACAAAAGGCTGCGTCTCACTAGTAATTACAATATCACGGGGAGCAATTTTGCTCTTTGCTTTAGATGTAATGCAATGTGTTGCGTCTTTTTGCATGTACACAGGTTAGCATACTGCATGGTGTCATGTTGACATTTCATATGGTGACACATTTAATAATCGCATTTGTCGTGTTGTCATCTGACCTTCTTTATTAAAAGTGTCGTGTTCGTATTGTGGCAATTCAACGCGTTTACTAAACATTTCTTGTTCAGGTTTTGCCATATTTGTGTTATATCCTAACTGACATGACACAATTAATATGACACGACATGAATTGTCAACCGTATCTTTAGTAACATGATCGCTCACAAAAACAATGAAAAAAAAAGAATGTCCAAAGTCTTTGAAATTTCATGATTCACTTGATTTTGTTTTGTTCTCTCTCTCTCTCTCTCTCTCTCTCTCTCTCTCTCTCTCTCTCTCTCTCTCTCTCTCTCTCTCCTATGTTCTTTTCTCTTTTTGCGTGAATGTTGCTTCTCTATTCGTTTCAGGTCGGTTGCTTCACTTCTTTATGTTTTGGTTCAAATTTGGTGATTTAATATTTTAATTTTATTTAAAATATTCTTAATGAAATTGGAAATGCGAGGTAGAGATGAACGAATGGTCGTTGTCATTTCTCTCTTATTTATTTCGTGCTGGCCCCACATGCCAATAATTTTATATAGGACAAATTTATGATACCATGTTACCGAGCTGTTCACTTCAAACTTTCAAATTTAAATTATCGTTTGATATATTGTCCACGAAATAGAGCTATAATTTGTTAAATGACACCAAATGAGCATGACGCGTTAGTATTAAGTTACTAATGATATATGAAATACTTGTATACTATCCTTGAGTTCTTTTCCGGGCCATTTTTTTATTACAATTTTGTTGGCATATCATTCAGCTCTTGTAAAGTCAGTAAAACAATGAAAATAGAAGTATGCGAAATATTCAAAAAAATAAAAGATGATTTAGGGAAAAAAATAGAAAAGAAGGGAATGAAGTGCCTGGGCTTACTTTTAGAGGTAACGTCCAAAAGGCTTTTGAATCATGAATTCATGACACATAGAAACCTTCTTGAACATGAATTGAAAGTGAAAAAAGGGAATGAAGTTGGAACGAAAGATGCTATTCTGCTGCATAAAAGGATCGATGAACTAATCTCTATGAACAAGTATGAACATGAATTTGTTACCAAGCAAGAAAAAAATGAACATGAAATCTTTAATTAATTAGTAATTGATTGACTAGGAGCAGTTGCAGATGTTTTTAGTCCTCGCCTTATCTTCTTTTGGACCTCACCCTATTCAAGTCAAGCCTGTTGGCTTGATCCACTCACGAGTAACGTGTGCGTTTTTCAATTGGGCTATAAGAATATGTGTACAAGTATACTGCGTTCAATTAAAAATTTAAAGCATACGTACAGTTTCTTATTTGGTTATTGAAAATTGGAATTCGATAAATCACTTAAAAGATAATGATTGAGTTGAAACGGAATTAGAAACGTGTGAAAGACGTCGAGAGAGGACCGAGCTAGTAATTGTGGATGTGATTTTATATTCTAATTTTGTTTAAAATTGCCATATTCTTAATGAAGTTGGAAATGTGAGGTAGAGATAAACAAAATGCCCGTGGTTATTTATCTTTTATCTATTCCATGCCGGCACCACATGGTACAATTCCATGTAAAATGAATTTCTTTTGAACTGGTATTTAATCACTGAGCCTTTCGTTTCAAATTTTCAAATCTAAAAAGTTGATTGATATTTTATCTGTAAAAGGAAGCTGCTGAGGAAAATTTTAGAGACGACCAAGGTTTGAAACAATGGCGTCGAGTGCTTGTCCCCATTTTTGTTGGAGTGCCCACCTTGAGAATATCACCGCAAAGATTCTTTATCCAATTAAATGGAAGTAGATTAGGATTATCAGCTAAATTCGTGATAAGTCAGGTTAAAATTGATAAATCACATTTGGAAGAACGAATTTATTGTTTGTAACAAAAGAGGTGTAAGAAATGAGTGATGTAAAGCTAGGTGAATCTCCTAATATGCATGTATGGCTCGATTTATTTGATTGTTTTCATGTGTCATAAGATCAACTAGGTTTTTTTTTTTCTTACTATTGGATATCATGTAAAAGGTCTTAAGAAGTATCAAGCTATGGATTTTGGTATGTTTCATATTGTGATGATTGAAACTATCATGAGTTGAGAGCAGGTAAAAAGTAGCAATATAGTTAAAATGCTTAAACTTTCACCGTACGTCTTAAGTTTTTTTTTTTCTTGCTATTGGAGAAAATGAGTTTTTTCTTTTTCTCTTTTTTTTACTAAAGAAGGGAGAAAATGAGTTAGAGGTGAAAGGGAATATACTTTCTAGGATTAATGGTCCAACAATTCAAGGAAAACATAATATTTCTCATTTGGAATTTTTTATAGGGAGGTAAAATTGTCGAATGAAATCTCCTTAAGAGAAGACTTACTCTTAGGATGATTAGTTTCAGAATGAGTAGGTCTTAAACAAAGCATCAAGAACTTATCCTGTAATAATCGGTGCTCCGTGTTTGTAACCGAGAACCAAACTAGTTGACCCTCAAACCAGCCTACTTTTATTTTTCTGATTTATTTTTCTATAAATTAATCTAGGACCTTCAAACACAAAGAAACCTCACAACGCATAAAAAATAATGGTCTCTGGATTCAAGTGAAATGTGGCAATTTTGCGCGCAATAGAATCTAGTGCACTTGCAGACCTCCTCGTTCTAGTTCAACAAAAGATCAAATACTGAATTACGATGCAACTAACAATCAGCCAGCAAGGCCATCATAGGATTAGCCACATCTAAAGTCGAAAACAAAGGGCTTTCTTTTTGCACCTAAGTAAAATCTGAGCTGGGGACATACCTCGTTAACAGGCAACAGCGGCTCCAAAAGAGAGAATAGAAGACCCTCCTCTGCTATTCAGCGGCCACCCCGACGTCCCCAATAGACAAAAAGGGCCCAGAACACACTTAGTTCAGCCGATTATTCTGATAACAAAGTGACAGAATCAACAGAAACGACACGCTAGTAAGGGATGAAAAAGTGATTACCTCCTGCGAGCTGAGATGCGAAGAGAGGCGCGAGATCGGGGAGAGGAGACCCTGAACAAGCCTGGGCGAGAACTTTGAAGAGGGAAAAGAACAGAGAAAGCGCGTGAGGACTAATCAGTAGACGATAGTCTCGAATGGTTTCTGCAAGAGAGAGGCCGAATGCGAAAGACAAAGTGAGAAAAGAGAGAGAGAGAGACCGTAGTAGACGATAAGTCTCGAATTATTATTGACGGACAGGTATCCCTCTATTGCTGATTGACTGGTAGCGATGAAGTCGTTTTCAGATGGCAAGCCAAAGTCAAGCCACACAATGTGGACCAGAGTACGGAATGACCACTTCTGTTCATATCCACACTTTAAAAACCATTTTGTTAAACAGATAAATGTGGCTCTAACCGTCTTGTGAATCTTCCATTATATCATTATCAAAGACGTTCTTACTTCCTGTAAATGCTACATTCTCCTCCCGCCCTAAACATGCATAAATCTTATTGTCAAATCCGTCGTAGGTCAGTAACTTTCTATGCTATATAAACATAAAAGTCACGTCTTTGCTGTAAGCATTTAAATTGCGTGAAAACCACACTTTATGACGAGTTTCTGTTATTCAATCTGCAAAGATAAAGTCCACCTAAAAATTATCCACATACTAAATATGTGTAAGTGCATTGAAACCAGCAGCTTTGCTCACTTTCAAGTTTTTCATTGTAACCAGCACAAAAAAATAGTACAATTGTGAATTTTTCATAATGTCCGGAAAACATTTGAATTTTCTGTCATTTTCCAGAAATTACGAAAATTGCCAATATAATGGAAAAAGGTTTTATGGACATCCAAAAATTCTATAGTTGATCCGATCTGTTCAGATAAATTTTTATTGTTGACAATTCTGATCCGTAACCTTTGAAAGGCTTCGTGTAAATATTGAAGACAATAGATGAGCACGATCGACATTTGGAAAAATCTAGTTTTTAACTGTTTTCAAGGAAAAAAAATGAATTATTTCTGCAAAAACCGAGTATTTTGGATGTTTCACGGCTTTGAGTAATTTTGGACAATTGGGGTACTTATAGGGCCGATGGACCCAAAATCGGGTCTAGAAGGGCATTTTCGTAATTTTCATCGAACGGGCTTTTTGGCCCAAGGGACCTCAGTCAAACCATTCCGGTGAGGGCCAGCATGCGATTCCACCAGGGTTCAACCGCTCCAACCCGTTCATACCCGATTAGCTTGAATAAAAAGATTGTAGCAAGAAAAATTAGCAATATATGTGATGATGATTTTGGAAAAAGTCGAGGGAATTTCACAAGTGATATTTTGTATGCCTTAAAAGGACGTTAGGTGTTATGCGATGAGTAATGGTCCAATGTATTTTTGTCCTATCAGAGAATGAAGGTCGGGCTTACCTCGAGGAGCGATGTCGAGATGAAATTACTGTGATGGGTTTCGGTGTTTGAGAGGAAGAAGTTGCCTCGAAGCAGCAGCAGCAGATCAAGTCGTGTCCGAGTCCCGGAAGGCGGTACAACCCAAGGATTCACACCTTCATGCCTCAACCTGGACCGGCTCGGTTCAGAAAGACACCGAGGCAAATTTTGCAGATCTCGGGGTCAGAACATCCACGCGAAAGGACGAGTGTCTACTACGAAAATCACCAACGACGGACAAGGGAACTCACTATCTTTCGATAAGATCGCAGCTCTTCTCCGGTGTATCTGGAAATCCAGAGACGACCTCGTGTGCTCCGACGAAGAAACCCCCCCAAACACCCAGGAACCCTAATATGCCTCGGCGGAGCCTGTGATCAGAAATTATAGCAAGCGGGACGCTGAAAGTTCGAAACTTTGACACGATTCGAGTTGATTTACCTGCGAATCGGTGCCCGCCGAAGAAACCGGTCCCTCAAGGTGAAATATCGATGGGGGGTCCTTTGAAGCCGGTGTGGTTCGGAAGGAGCGATTGCGGGTGTTCTTGGCGACGCCTCAGGTGTACTGCTCGATGGGATTCGCGATGAAGAAATCACCCGCTTGCTCGCCGATTCAAGCCGAAGCTCTCGCTCTCTGGTAGAGGCGTTTGATGCACTTTCAGATCTAGAAGAAGTACAGAGAACCTTGGTACTCGGGAGTCGGACAACGCGGCTCTGTTTGACTCTCTTGCTGGAACGTAATCACGTGGGCATGGGTGGGGTAAATTCCCCCAAAAAAACCCTAAACTTTAGGTCAAGTTTTAAATTTGTCCCAAATATTTTTTTATTTCAGAAAAAATCTCAAATTTTAAGATCCAATCTCAAATATATTTAAAAAAATTTTTCTCTAAATTTATTTTATTTAAAAAAAATTATCAAAATTCAATTTATTTTAAAAATTTGCCCTCGTGCTATAACAAATCCACATCGCCAAAGTAGTGGGCGATAGGTGCATACCGACATCGCATTTCCACTTCGATAACAAATCAAACTAAATAAAAATTATTAAAATTCTTTAAAATAAATCCATTCTAGGATATAAAAGTTAAGGATGATAAGAAATCCACACCAAAAAACTTTTCTTAAATTAAAAAAAAACCTAATTTTTAGGTTCAATCCAAATTTGCTCCGAACTTTTCTTTGTCTAACAAAAGCTCCATTACTTTGTCAATGTGGAAGTGCCATGTCAAGTTAGGGCTGAATTACGAGGGTATATTTTTTAAAATAAATTGAATTTTGGTGATGTTTTTACACAAAACAAAATTCGAGGCAGATTTGGGACTGGACTTAAAGTTTGAGGTTTATTTTTAGACAAAAAAAGTAATTTTTAGCAAAATCTGGATTGAGAACTCAATGAAAATAAAGGTAGTATTTCTTGGCCACCAGGGGCTAAATTCAAAAGTATACCCGTGGCTCATCGTGGAAGAACGACGAATCAATTAGCTGATTGGGTAGCTAAAACCCAACAGTTGATTACTTTTTTTTTCGGAAAAATTATCAAAAAAAATCCTAAACATATTGTAATTATGCCAAATTCAGTCCTAAACCTTTTTTTTTTGCCAATTCAATCTTAAACATTTTGAATTTGTACAAATTCAATACATCCTGCCAATTTTGGCCAACCGGCATTTACGTAGACACCGACCACCCAGGCGACGCTGATATGACAATTTTTTAATATATTTTTTATTAATTTTTTTACCTTTGATTGTGCCCAAGAGCAGAAGTCTAGTGAAGTAAGCCTCACCAGCCATGGGCGATGGCGGCCATGGCCTCGCCCAGATTTGGGTGAGGCTGAGCAAGGGCTTCATGGCGCATGCCCTGTGGTCAGCGAGCTTCGGTGACCCTCACTGGCCATAGCTCGCCAGCCATAGTGGGAAACAAAAGAAGGAAGGAAAAAAAAGAAAAAAAATATAAATTTAATATAAAAAATTTAAAAAAATTTAAAAATTGTCACGTTAGCATTGGGCGGTATTGATGTGGGCGCTGGCCAACATCCACGTCAGCGTTGGCTTACCAAAATTGGACGGATGGACTGAATTGATATACATGCAAAATGTTTAAGATTGAATTTGCACAATTATATTAGGTTTATAACTTTTTTTGTAATTTTCGCCTCTTTCTTCTTCTTGATTAGCCCAGCCCCCCAACTTCTTTGGATTTTATCTTGAACTCCTAATGATAAATAAAAGTAGTATTTCTTACCCCAAACGAAAAAAAAGCCCTAAAGCTATCAAAACCAAATATCTCATAACAAAAACGAGAGTATGAGTGATTTATGGTGATTGGCGTTTCTCCTCTTCAAGCACAAGCACTCAGGACTTTAAATAAAAGCTTTTACTTCTTCTCTGAAGACACGCAATCTTGTGGTGGAATTGCCTTTCTTCGACGAGGCAATTGGACTTCTTTTTAACCCTCACCTTTTTGACCAAGACCCACCAAAACAATCCCTTCCTCCAAATGGGCAAGACTACCTCAATTTAGACTTTAAGGGATATTTTGTTACTTTCTCTTTGTAATTGGACCGCGTGGCCACGCAAATCAATGTGAAGGATGGGTGACCTTTTGCTTTCCCTGACCCCATTGACCGAAAGAATCCATACCTTTACGTTGGAGTCAAGGTGTTCACATTGGAAAATTAGTTTTCACATGGCGCTATTTCAAAAGAGCCCTGCAATCGTCTCCTTTACTTGGCAACTTTGGCAAGCTGTCCATATTGGAAATTACTTCTTCTCTTGCCTCAAAAGATGAACCAGATGTGCTTGGGTACACACAATCCTACCGTGGACTTGCGTGTCTTTGATGAAGAAATTTTACTTCTTTAACCAGCTAACTCTCACATTTTGTTAGTTCTCTTTGTAATGGGATCACACGGCCGTGTAAATCAAAGTGAAGATGGACAACATTGTGCTTTCCCTTTCCGTTGAAATGAAAGCCTCTCACCGCTAGAGACGTTGAAAAATGGTCAAAAATCTACTTTTTAACTCATATTTAGTGACATGAATCATATATGAATGAGCTAAATTTTAAAAAATAGATTTTCATGAATTTAAAATAAAAAATTAATTTGATATATATTTTAATGAGTCTGAACCCTGTGTACATGCAATTCATGTTAATCGAAAAAGAGAATATTAATGATTTTTCCATTTGCTTTCACGTGGCTCGTTCTTAGTTGGCCTGACGCTCGAGTGTGGTACACCCCGACACGTGGAGCCCACTCTATGTGGCGCCATGAGCTTTTTCTTCACTTGCCTATCGCTTTGACTAGTGATTGAGTGACACGCCATTCGTTTCCCTACTCGTTAAAAAATATATATTAATATATAAACATAAAAATGTCAATTAAAAAAAATTTACTTTGTCAATTTTTTTGTTTTGCTTATACACAGCAACAGAAAAGAAATTTGAGATACGTCTCGTAGATTTATAAAGAACAACATGCAAGTACTGTGTTTGCGAATGAGCCTTCACTCATATTCTGCGAATGAGCCTTCACTCATATTCCTGCAACGGTCAAGAATGGCTCAACCCCAGAAAAGAACTAAGTAAAAGAAAAACCTCCCACCAAAGAGACCCATAGGGGGGTCAAATTAAACCAGAAAAACTAATGAGGGGGGCAAAATAGAACTTAAAACAAACTTCAGGTGCGAAAATGGAATTGTCAGAAAAATTAAAAAAAAAATTGGTTCCAATCTCTCCATTCTCTGGCATATAAAAAGGCAAAGGAAAAACATCAATCCTACCATCGCCGGGAAGGTATTTGAACGAGAGCACTTCGAGTGCGCTCTATGGATCAATTCGATTCGGATTCGTGCATCATCAATCGACCGAATCGCTCAAACAGGTTGAAATTCCATGGAGGAGCTGGGCTTGGAGCTAGAGAAAGCTCGGTTACTGAGCTTGGCTCTCGAGTTCGACTTCGATGAGCAGTCCACCAACAAGTGCTTGGACCGTTTCGTTTCGCTCTACGATTCATGAATCATCACTTTGTCACCCATTTTTCTTGTTGATTAGCGTTTGCAGAAATTATGAAGGTAGTTCTCGTCCCCACGACACGGTAACGATGGTTGTGGAATAGTCTGCTCTAGGTTTGAATAGATCAGAGCGGGTTTAGTGAAGTAGTCTTACTTATGAGCAAAATGTCCAACACTGTTCCAGCTTGATGTGTTTAGGTTACTTTTTTTTTTTTGGTCAAAGTAACATTTTATTTATTTCCACAAAAATACAAGGGAGAAATAACAAGACAATTCCAGACAACTTTAAAATAAAAACAAGCTTTAGATAATAAAATGTATCATTAGAACAAGATTAGGGGTCACACGCCCAAAGAGCAGATATGGGACTTCTTTAAACTAAAATCGGTGCCCAATCACCGAATCCATCTTCAGTAATGAACACACACCGAGATATCTAACTACGGCTTTATTCTACTTGAAGAGGATGATTGGGATGGACCCTTTGCCTTCACCTCCCCGTTTCACCCAACTCTTGCAGGTTGTGGAGAAGATAAATAAGCATTACGCCACCGCCATTAAGATGATTGATCGGATGAATTCGAAGGGAATGACTCCCAACGTTTTTACACTCAGCATTTTGATGAATTGCCTATGCCAATTTGAAAAGGTCCAATCTTGGACTTGAACCCACAACTCGAGCTTTAACACTTCGATCAATGGGCTTGTTGGTAACGCTAGAGTAGGCTTTCGATTGCTAAAGCATACGGAAGACAAGAGGCTGGGGAGCTAGATGTTGTCATATACACCACACAGTTATCGCACGGTAAGACTAGTGGCAGAGGCTTTTGAAGTTCTTTAACACTATGACTAGCCTGAGAAGTCGCCCAAATGTGATCACTTATACATGGGTTATGCTGCATAGGCAAATGGACAAAAAAAAAGAAAAAGCAATGATTTTGTTAAAGAATGGAACGTGATTTACTGTCCATTATTAAAAGATTTGCGTCTTGAAAATGTTTTATTAGTGGACAACCATTGACTTTTCCACAATAGTCACAGGAAGAGTTATTAATGAATTTCAAAGGATCATAAATGAGATTTACTTTTTTTGTTGGTCGATCATAATGAAATTTTGTCGCACTTTCGCTTTATATCGATCTAGGCCGAGGACAACTAATAGATCTTGTTTGGTTGAAATAAGAAAAATTAATAACCCTGCCTCACTATTCACTAATTATTTGTCTTGGTCATTTTTATATCTTCCGACTAGGTAACTTGCATGGAACCTTAGGCTATGTTTGTTCACAGAAAATATTAGACCATGTGATCGCATCAAGGTGCCGGGAACCCAACCCTTTGCCAACAGGGAGGCTGTTATCATCCGTGAACACAAATATTGGTATGGTTCCTTCGTTTATGAGATTGTCGGAGCCTCTAAAGATCAAGAATGCATCATGGGGATTCACTTCCCACTCCTGTTGCTGTCGGTGTTGGAGAGAGACGAACGAAGATGTGGATGCTTCGTCATTGCTCTGACACTCGTTTTCCTCGCCTTGAGAAGATTATA